GTATTGGCATTCAAAGACTTAGATTTCTAGTTGGATGTTGGTTGGATAGTCCAATTTAGTCTTTTCTTTGCGCTACGGGTGATTGATTGATCGCTATTTGTTTCAATTGCAGCTAACATTTTTATGGGAATTACGGAAAAGGATGTGCCTTCTGTGTAGGACTTCTTATAGAATTGACTGCAACCTCAGTCATGTGAATAGAATGTCAGAAATGCAAAGCTACGAAACTTCTTTCTGTCATTAACTTTTAAGGTCAAAGCATGAGGCATGCCATGGTAATACAACAATTAACATTATTATTGCAGGCATCTTCAGAACTGGAATTTCTTTTTGCCCATTTTAAGTAAACATCAAATTGGAAATGACATTAGTAATTACATAATACAATTATGCCCAACTTGTTATTTGGTATATTGCAGTGCACAGTGATCAATGTTCGAAAAGGCATAGGCGCCCGCCTAGGTGTTTTGGGGTCCTGGCTGCCTAGGCATCCGGGCGCTCGCCAAGAACACAAATGGGTGGACTATTAACTAAGATGAAATTTATATTATAATTATTATTTATTAATTATTTTCAATAAGGTTTGGTTTTGGATATCAAATGTTCACAAAACATCAATTTCATCCAAAGTTTAAGACCATTTACAAAAGCGCAATTTCATCGTCCAAATGAGAAAAAATTCAATAAATCACAAAAAAATCAATCTTTCAACTACAAACATATAAATATATCGTAAAAGAAAAAAAAAGTAAAAGAAAAAAAACTAATGATTCACAACATAATACATTATAGCAAAATCAAATCAAAACCCTTATTCAAATATGATAATACTTTTAAAATATCACAATCAAATCGATGTTGGTACAAACCTCGTCTATTGGGTCACCAAAAGTCCTCAAAATTGACTACTAGAAGTTCCAAAAAAACCCACGAACTGAGGCCATTGTTTTGGGAAGAAATCGAAAAATAAAAAATTTATCGATATTTTGATAAATCACAAACAAAAAAAATTTGGGGAGTTTTTTTCTCTCTAAAAGGCACGGTTTTAGGTGGGCGCTAGATGCAGGACTCCTAATAGTCCCCCCTAACTTGTGTCTAGGCGTTTTTGAAATTTTTCTGCCTAGACGGCTGGTCGGGCGAATTTTCGAACATTGACAGTGATAATAAGTATTGTAGCCACCAGAGGTTAATCATAGTTACCTTACTTTTCTTGTTCTTTCTGGGGATAAATTTGGAGCTCTAGGTTCTTGGTAGGTGACTAATGTGCTCTGAAATCTGAATGTCCTTTCTGGCTGCATAGTTACAGGCCAATGTCTGAGTGCAAGTTGCTGCTCTAAGGTTTGTTATATGGAACGTACTATTGGCCGTCTGTTGACTTATTTGTCTACTTTGGCTATCATGGGAGGATCAATTAGTGGATGTGAAATTAGAGTTTACACTTGACAAAATTCCAATATACAATTAGTAAGTTCTTTTGTTTTTTGATCCGTGGCTTACCAGATTACAGTTATAGCAGAAGAAATGTTATGTTTTTTGAGAGAATGAGCTGAATTGTTCTTTCTCATGCCACTAGGAAAATTTTCATTGGTCCAATTTTAAGAAGCTAGAGAGTGATAAACCTGTTGGTATCTCATAACTCATATGCAGCAAGTCTTACATCAAAGATTTTCAACTATTTCTTTACTATTGGCTTGGCAGGCTTGTCGAAATGGTATTCCTTAGGGCCTATGAGTGAAGACCTTTCAGTGAGGGGATAGTAAACTATAATCCTGAAGAACCTGACATTCAATGAGAACTTCTAAAGACTGATCATAGTCCTCAGGGTCATCCCTGTTAATAAACGAGGGACTTTTGATGGAACCTGGGCCCACCCTCTATCCATCACCATCCATCATCTCTATGGATGCCAATGGCTATAAGGGCTATGTTTGCATTGACCTTATGATTCACCTTTATGATGATTAATAAAAGTGATGGCGATTTTATTGGGCTTATCTTCACCCGAGTTTGAATCTAATAAGTCCAGCTTTTAAATCACTAAATATTAGAAAGTTTTTAAGTTGGACTTGACACTCGATAATATCTCTTCAGCATAATCCTATATAGATTTACATTAGTTGGCAACTGATAGTGATATTATTTCCGCATTCAACTTTCCTAATCTAAAAGACTCGTAACTGTTGGTGGTAGTTATAACCAACTTCGAAAAATCTTGATTCAGATAAGAAATCACTTATCTGGATTGGGGCGGAGACTGTCTGTTCCCAATCAGAATCGCAATCAGCGATTCTATTTATATATGTATATAGTGTGGTGCAATAAAGAAAATAACATATAATGTTGCAATCAGCGATTCTATTTATATATGTATATAGTGTGGTGCAATATAGAAAATAACATATAATGTACTCATATTTTACAAGAGGTTTTCCGAGTGCCACTTTTTTAAAGCGGCCTAGGTTTGATTTTACATCGAATATGTTATTTAATTGTAGGACAGCTAAGTTTTAGCAGCTTCGTTATATCCAAATCTCCTTTTAAAGAAATTTAAGGAGCTCTGTTTTTAGGAGCCTTTTTTTAAAGTTAAAAGAAAAAAAACAGTGGGGGATTCATGCCTTGACCTTGCCCATTGCGCTTCTAATGCGCAAAGTCTAGCCTACATGTTGCGTTGAAGCATTTATGACAATATTTTGACGAATATAAATTATATATTTTATTATTTATTATTTATTATGTATTTTTCCGGATCGCCAATCCAGACAATTCGAATTGCCGATTCGACCGATCTGGATTGGGATTGGTTGGTAGGGGATCCACCCCACTAATCCATTTTTTGAATCATTGGTTCTTACTATTTATACCTTCTATTGGTTTTACATTATGATATGGCAGGAAGAGTTCTTAGGACCCTTTAGATGGTTCAAGCGACGCCAGCTTTTTTTCCCTGGCATAAACAAGTTGCCTCATCTAGACCTTCAACTAAGCAGTAGCTGCCTAAAATTGATTGAGGAGCCTGCAACGGACAACTATGTGATAAACTATTGGGTTTGTACACAGGAGCGATCAACTAACTTCAAGTTCAGCAAATTTGAATTGCCCTTCAAAGGTTCATATACAAACCTCCTTTTGCTTGAGAAACTATTTAGACCTTCACAGGCATCGGCTGGAACTTCGTAAAATTTGAGGACAAAGGTTCCTTTGATGATAACAACAAATTTATTCTTGCTGGTAATTTTTCACAATAAGCTGTTCTGGATTCATGCTCCCTTCATATTCTTTTTTAAATGAATATGTAAGTTCTTTTAATGAAAATGCATGGAGATGAGCATTTTTCTATTAGTCTAGGTCCTTGGGCTTCTTTCTACTGGCAATCATTCTTGGTAATGTGTAAATATCTTCTTTGTAGTTAGTGGTTCGGAATTCTTTTCCTCAACCTTGGGCTTGTGACTCATGCTTTGGAATTAAAAAAGTGGTTATTCTTTGGAGATGCATCAGATGAGCCTTTCAGGATTGAATTGTCTTAAATATTCAGCACTGAACATTGTTGATCTGTTGCCTTGAACTTTGTCTATTAAATATTAATATGTACCTTCTTATTATGGGGGTAGCTTATCAATGGGAACTGAGATGCCCCGAAGGTGGCTAAACTACTTTCGGTTTTCATCAATTCAAATTTTACACTCCAAGCACTAGTATGGTGGTCCTTTGCGCTATCTAATCCAAGCAGCTAAATCCGAAACTGTCTGATAAAAGCTTGGATTTAAACCTATGGAGTTTAGAAGGTTGGTACTTGGGCCCTAAGCTCCAATCCTAGATGCTAAACACCTAAACCCAAGAATAGTAATGCTACGTTCCTGTCTGGAGTTGGAAGTGTCCTATTAGTTATCTAGATGACAGAAGAGCTAGTTTTTCTTATGGAAATGTATACAAAGAGAACATCAAGTTTTTAAACCTGTGTAGTTTAGAATGTTGGTCCTTGTGTCCTAAGTGCCAATCCTAGATGCTAAACACCTAAACCCCAAGAATAGGAATGCTACTTGCCTGTCAGGAGTTGGAAGTGTCGTATTAGTTATCTAGATGAGGGAAGAGCTAGTTTTTCTTATGGAAATGTATACAAAGAGAACATTTACTTTTAGTATAAGGAGATCATAATAACTGTGATCAGCTGGATTTTGTATTGGGTGACTGTCAATGTGTCATTTATTGGGCTCAATTCGAAAAAAAAATCGAACTTTGTCACTTACCCTAAGTTGCCCAATTTGACATATGATAGCTAGGGGTAGTTGTGACCTTTTCTTATACTTTAGTTTGCTTGCATTAGTTTTAGTTCATTACCTGGCCTACAATCCAATTCTTTAGGAGGGAGTTCTTTACAAGATTAACGCAATGTAGCTTAGCAAAGATACATTTAAACCAAGATCCAATGACATCATCATCATCAGAGCCTTTTCCCTACTATTTAGGGTCGTAACACGAATCTTGGTCCGCTATTCTACTCTATTAAGATCTATGGTAACATATGATACCTAAACTGATCTCAAGCATGAGTCTAGGGTATTCAATTTAAAGCCATCTACCATGACCACTATCAATAATAGTTGCGCTTAGCCCATAGTTCAACCTGAAGATAAATACTGCAAGCTTGAAGTCACATGCTCGACTTTGAGTTATCTACCCCATATATAATAATAATATTAATGTTTAAATTTTTCAGATTGACTAACACTAATTATATTCATTTTTAGGATTGGAACCTTTTAAAATTGTTTATAAAATGATCGAACTACACTTGATCCTTTGCTGCAGTAGGTGATCACCATACCCACATGCTTTTTCCATTATGACCAGAAAAAGCTTCAGCCAAGGCTGTACAATGATCCTAGAGAGCTGTACCTTGTATGGTTGTTATCATTAGTTTCCAGTGCACGAGTTTAGAATAAATAAAAAGGAGAATGGCATAAAAAAGAATAGAAAAGAGGATTGGCTCTTTCTCTTCTCTTCAAACATGATGCCGCTTAGGATCTCTAGCTCATGCTAACTTTCTTTGCTACTTGTCTCTTTCATAACGATTCAAACCTGGAATCTTCTCTCAAGCTCTAAAGAAGATTTACTTCTCTATGAGGAACTTCTTAATTTCAATGCGTATCATGTGCCACCTTGTAATCTCAAAAGAACCTTGTCGCTGACTTTTAATGTTATTACAGGTATAGCTGACCTATCATGCTTGCCAACTGCACAAACATGGACAGTCCACTAAGAGCAAATAGAAATCCAAATGGAAC